GCTGGTGTCGGTGGCCCTCTTCGTGCTCCCCGTGGTGCTCAGCTTCGCCCTCTGGCATCACTACGCCTTCAACACCTGGCTCTTCGCTGTCACGGCCTTTTGTGTAGAGCTCTGTCTCAAGGTGAGTTTCAGACTTTTAGCGTCGCTTCTACTTGAAATGATGTATGATTATTTTACAGTATCTATAAAGTTCTTAATGCACTTTGAACTTTGTGCCACATTGCTGCTACAAAATTCATTTTTATGGGGATTTAATTGAATAATAAAATCAATGGGGCATTACATTGGGATGTACTGTATACATGAAGGGTATTTTATTTTAATTTTTTTTACAAAAACGGCAAAAAATAAACAGATTCATACAAATTCCCTCTATGTTTAATAACCTCAGTTTAAGTTCAGCTTCAAAGTTTGTTTACGTTGGTGAAAATCATTTACAGAGACCAAGAAAGATTGATCTGCATTAAGGCTGGTTTATGCTCAGACACCAGGTTATCTGTGTGTGTCACAGTTAACGCAGACATGCCCCGCCCCTTCTGCAGACACTCTGCTGCACCTCTCCAAAATTGTAGGTGACCGCAAACAGGAGACATCTGATTGGTCAAATTTGCGTCCGTTCTACATTATGCGTATTTCCTGTTTGGTGCCTTACCGGCTTGTTTTGTTTGTATGACCGCCATTGTGGAAAACGACCCGTGAAGATGGACCAGCTTGAAGAGCGAGAGCGTGAGAACGCTGGGACCCTTTTTCCACCTGGATCCCTGCTCTTTTTTTTGCCTTCATGTCCCTTCATTGTTGCACAAACTTAATCCTTGCGTTTTTCAACTTTCTCACACTAGAAAAAATTTAAATCTATATGTAATTTTTTTCTTCAAATGAGTTCATTTGTTCTTGTATTGATGAGGTAGAAGAGACATTTTGCCATTGCAACAAGACGATTTACATTTAAAATAAAAAAACACAATTGCGTTGTCTTATATCAAGTGCATTTTATCTAACTTATTTTCAGAGTGAAACTATTCATTCCATTGACAAACTACCTTATTTACCTACTAGAATTAAAGGTAAATACACTTAATTTAAGAAATATTTACTTATTTCTTGATCATTTTCCCAGTGCACCGCCTCGGCCGTATCTAGACCCACAGCTAGTTTGTGATTGTCCCTCTGGCGTTGTGTAACATAGTGCAGACCACGCTTCAATATTGGGCTTAAATAAAAAAAAATATATCTGTGTTATAAGGCGACAATTTCACTGCGACTCACTGCTGCGGGAGCATAACCACCCCTTTAGAGCTGTCGAGAAGTTTGAGGCAGTTTTAACACATGGCCAAGCTTAAAATGGGACTGTTTACCCGAAGCTCCTGGAGTCTGTGTAATTCTGTGTCCTTAAAGCTGTGGAGCTGCTGTAAAGGTTCATCAGCTGAGCCTTTTTGCTCCTGTGCTGCAAGAACCATCGATGCTGTCAGATCTGACACTTCTCCTCTTTTCGTTTCAGGTCGTGGTGTCCCTGACCGTCTACGGACTCTTCATGGTGGACGGATTCTCCAACGTCCTCTGGGAGAAGCTGGACGATTATGTCTACTATGTGCGCTCCTCCGGAAACATCATAGAGTTCCTTTTCGGGGTCATCATGTTCGGAAACGGCGCCTACACCATGATGTTTGAGTCGGGCAGCAAGATCCGAGCCTGCATGATGTGCCTGCACGCCTATTTCAACATCTACCTTCAGGCCAAGAACGGTTGGAAGACCTTCATCAACCGCCGCACCGCGGTTAAGAAGATCAACTCCCTCCCGGAGGTCCGAGGGGACCAGCTGAGGGACATCGAAGACGTGTGCGCCATCTGTTACCAGGACTTCGCCAACTCGGCGCGCCTCACGCCATGCCACCACTACTTCCATGCGCTGTGCCTGAGGAAGTGGCTGTACATCCAGGACACGTGCCCAATGTGCCACCAGCGGGTTTACATCGAGGAAGACGGCCGAGACAGAGCCGCCTTCTCCAACAACAACGGGGGCTACGCAGCGCCGCAGGACGCCGCTGCCGCCGGCCCACCAGCGCAGCCTGACAACCAGCAGGGACAACCGGTTGCAGATCTGCTGCCAAACGGAGCGGCAGGCGGTGCGCACGCTGCGGGAGAGCCGCCCCGGCTCGACGACCTGGTAGAGGACAATGACAGCATAGAGTATGACGAAGACGAGTGGGGGACTCGCACGCCTGTAGAAGAAGAATATATGAACGACGACACAGACTCTACAGACGACTGAGAGGATCTATAGAAAATGACACAGATATATCTTTATTATATTTAAGTTAAAAAGAACTACTAAAAACACTTAATTTGTTCTCGGAAAAATGTCAGGGATCTCAGTCTGATTCTCCTTAGTTTCTTTTTGAGTTTTACTCTCTAAGGGCTTGTGGAAAGAATAATAGCTGCTCTCATTCTGTGTGTGTGTCGAGTGGATGTGTGTGCAAGATGTAGACCAAAAAGATCCACAATATTTTATTTAAATTGAACAAAAAGTTATTTAAAAACAAAGTTTCCCATGATGGCATAGCTTTTCTTGAAGGGAATTTCTCATCATCCTGGCTTAGTTATCAAAATTCATCTTTAAAGGCCTCCATGAAAACGGTGTTATGATGACGTCTCTATGCCGACGTTTAACGTTTCATAAAAATGTCGATCATGCTTCCTTGTAATTTGCAGAAAATGCTGGATGGTATAAATGTGCAATTTTTTTTAATGACTAATCACATTCAATTCTTAAGTTTATTAGTTTTTCGATCCTTTTTTTGTCATCTTATTTATCAATCTGAATCATTGATAACCCTGCTGTTTTCCGCTTTGCCAAAAATATTTGGTTTTCAATCAAAAGTATCTGATTTAACATGCTAAGTGTTTTTTTTTTTTTTTTATTTAGAGCTACAGAAACTTCTAACCACATCTCTTCTCTCCTCATAGTCCAACATTTATATCAAGATCAGCTCAGATTATGGTTAAACTCAGTATTTTTGGCCTTTTTATTTATTCATGCAAGTGAAAGCCTTGTGAGACGGCCCAGTGCGAGGGCTCGCACTGATGGGAAAACTGAGGCGTGTCTGATTAATTAAAGAATAATTTACTACTGTCGTCCCTGATATACCTCCCATTGCTAACTACTGGTCTCTTCTGTGACCTCGCTTACTGTGTACGTTGTCGTACATATAATGAAACCTGTTCACATTTTAATATGAGAGGTTTCAGGTGATTTGTTAATATTTACACATTTTTCTGCAGTTGTTCAATTTGGTTAAATGCTTGTTTCAGGTGAGGAAAGACTACTGGTTCTACAAATTAAAAATCATAGGTATGGTAAAATTGCCAACTGAACTTTTTGAATTACTTGAAAGGGAAAAAGTATTTTTTAAATATATATATATCAGGTAAAATATTTTTTTTTCTCCAGATGGCTCTATCAGTCTTGAAACACTTGTTTCTAAGTAGCATCACTTCTCAATGTGTCCCTTGTGCAATATGGCTAAAGCGGAAAGCTTATTGTCTCATGTCCTGGGTCTTAAACCTCCGAATATAACTCGAATCCTGCTACATGGGACCTGATCAAGTCTGGGGAATGCAATGAAAGGTGATTCATATATGAAGCATTTTGATTATTCGTTTAAAATCAAAGCTTTTTGAAAGGCTTTTCGGTTTGCCTTTTGTTTTGAAAAGACTGTGTAAATAAAAATGTATTTGATATTTCATTTTGAACACTGTATTTATTTCAATGTAGTCTGTCTTTGATGATGCAGTTTGAAAAAAAAAGGGAGATCGAAGACATTTTTTGCATTTTACTCTGAGAAAGTTTGGATTTAACATACCAAACGTTTATCCAATAAACTTACATCTGCCTGTTTATAGTCAAAAACATTTTAGAGTTCATTAAAGAAAGTTATTTTTTCCCTTTTTTAATTTTAATGCAGAAAGTCAATTGTTGCAACTCAACCCAGACCTATAGAGGCTGCTGCCGTCTGAACTGATATCCAATCCGCTAGGGTTTAAACTACATGTGAATTTGGTCAGTTATCAGTACATGCAAGATTTACCTTACAGAAAACTGGGCTTTCAAAGCCATTAGGGATAAATGTAGCTCTATGATAGATTTAACTATAAAACTGTCGCAAACACCCAATAATCACATACATATTTGACAAATATAGTGGCGTCATTGCGTCATTGTTTTTTCCCATATATATTTCTATAATTAGACTAGTCACTCTATCCTCCTTTAAACGGTTGTAAAAGGCAAGAGCACTGACACATGCGCATACGTCTGTGTTCATACCTCATGTGGGGGCCAATAAATGGCTAGCAGTGGTCTTTCATCCAGGCCACTGAAAAAAATCAAAGAAGTTAACTGATTTTTACATTTTATTTCAGTTTAATATTGGAAAAAATACTTTTTTCTCAGAATTCTTTTTTTTTCTTCAGAATTCTGACTTTTCTCAGAATTCTGACTTTTTTAAAATTAGAATTCTGACTTTTCTTAAAATTTTGACTTTAATCTAAAAATGTTGACTTTTTTTCTCAGAATTCTGACTTTAATCTCAGAATTCTCATTTTTTTTCTCAGAATTCTGACTTTTCTCAGAATTTTGACTTTAATCTCAGAATTTTGACTTTTTTTCTCAGAATGCTGACTTTTTCCCCATATTAAACAGAAATAAAATTAAAAATAAGTTAATTCTTTGGCCCTAATCCTCTTCCGTATAAATTAAACATCTTGCATTGCAGTCATTTACCATTTCGGTAAAACACTGTGGATAGGGTGACATGTTAATTATTTCAATGGGGACTCTTCTTTTCTTGGGGGTCCATTCCTAATCTGCAGCTCCGCCCCTGTGTGTGTGTTTTAATTATCTATAGAGCTGAACTAATAACACTATTTAAATAACCATACTATGAAAGGTTTGAGCGGAAGTATAACTTTATTTTGAAAGTCCGGATCAGCAGCTTCCGGTGATCCTCCTAACTTGACTCTCCTGTACTTCCAGTTCTTCTGTTGCTGCTTCAACTTCATTCATGTGTCAAACTCCGGAGCTCTGAATCCTTAGAGATCATGAGGTTAGGGCGAGGGAAAGCGTCAAGAGAGACCATGTCCGTCTTCCTAACGTGTAGTTCTGCTTTTACATCTTTCAAAAGTCGTCGATTCATTCTTTAGTTGACGTCGAATGAGGCTAGTAGGAGCGACCGACAAGCAACTTTATTAAGCCCCAGCGGCAGTCGTTCGTGGAGCGGAGAGTCGCCTTCGTGCCCCACCGTTCGAAAAACCCTCCAATGAAATTGCTTTTATAGACCGACTTAGTTATGTTTACAGGGTCCATGTTTAAGGTTTGCCTACGGAAGGCTCTCTGGCCGGCGGTACAGAAGTTACCGTCGGGGTTGAAGAAGTCTCCAGCGGCGGCGGTGGAAGCGCTGGGACTCCCGGGGACAGCGCGACATGTACCGAGCTGCTGGATGGGAACACATGGGAGAAACGAACCGAGGGAGACGCTCAACTGTCCCACCAGGGCCAAAGAGTTCATTTATCGCCTACACCCGAGTGAGAGGACGTGCTTACTGAAGGAGCTGCAGATCTTCGAGTCCAAAGCCATCGCTCAAGGTAAGAACCGAGCAGCCCGGGTTAAAGGTGGCAGCTCCATTACACACTGAGATTTAATGGGAGGGCACCGATTATTACCTGGAATAGCGCCAGGAGTTATACCACTCCCATCTGACTCACATTAAAAGCTGCGGTTTATGCTTTGTGACACTGAAGGATGCAAACTTTATGCGTTGTTATTAAACTCTCCTCCCTTATTAGACTGTTTTATTAAAGCTACAGTTTTTATTAAAAAATATTTGATTGAAATTCAACTAGGGTTGTCACGACACTAAGATTTCAAACTCAAGATTGATACTCAAGAAAAATATCAGATAATCGATATGATTTTCCATACCAGGGAATAAAATTGACAAATAATTATAGCTATTTATTGAAATGAAAAAAACTTAATATACCATTGGAGTTTTCTTATCATCAGAATATCAGATTGTCAGTTGAATAAACATAGAAATATATATATATATATATACATGTACACATCACACAAGTCTGCAACAGGATCATACTGTCTTGTAAAAAGACAAAGAAGATTGGAAGTAGACATTTTTACATTCCTGAAGAGTCTGAGAAGTTTTTTTTTCATGAGTGAAATAACTTTGTATATATATATTTGTATATATATATATCTTTGTATATAACATCCACTGCTGCTGTGTTGTTTTGGAGAGTTAAACATATTTACATGCAATCTTGAATTGAACTTGAATTTAATGGAAATACCTGCAAAAATTTGCCTTTTCAAAATTAGCAGAATATTGACATGGTTCTCCACATATTTGCAATGGAAACCCAGCTAGTGTCACATGACGAAACATGAACCCCCCCCTGTTAATTTCTACATCAAAATAGACATCGGTTGTTAATATCGGCCCAGTTTTACTTATTCGGCCGATACTGATATCCTTAAAAATGACAAATATTGGCCAATAACGATATTATGGTTGATATATTATGCATCCTTAAAATAAATAACCCAACTCTAACACAATTTAACAGTATTTAAAGGTTGCTTGAGGAATACTTCAATCTGCAAATAATCCAAAAGTCTAAACACTACTTGTACTAATTGATACAATTGCAAATTAGTGTTGTAAATGGATACAGTTTTGAGTATCAATGCTTTTGACAATCCTAAATTCAACTCATTACAAAGACAAAGAATAAACTCTGAGGCTGCAAAAGAAGAAGTAAACAAGCCCTGATGTCAATGTGATAACATGAGGGTGGTTTACTGTGGAACTGGCTCCCGTTTCAGTGCATTATCTTTAATAGTAAAAGCAGCAGGGTTGGTTTAGTCAGAAAAAAAAACAGTAACCCATCAGGTATTAAACAGCAAATGTCGCACTCTGGGCCAACTGTAATTAGGAGTAACACCAGCAGAAGAAGAATGTCAGTGAGTGGATTGATATTAAATGAATGTAAACAGCTTAATATCGTTTACTGAATATGCTTCCACAAATAAAGAGGTTAGATATTTAGGACCAGAAGAGCCGAAATATCGTGAATAATTTATTTCAGTGTCAAAGTTAAACTGCAGATCTTTTTTTTTTTTAACATGTCAACAGTTTAAAGCTGCAGTCTGTAACATTGAGAAGAGAGCAGACTTCGACTGAAAATTTGAAGAAAAACAGGTTTCACGCCACTCCCCCACCCTCTCTGCTTCACTCATGCCCCACCTCCAAGCTCCACCCCTCTCACAGCATCTGCGCGGCTACCGCATGCGACCAGAAGGGGGGGGGGGGATTCAGCGTGTGTGAGCTGTGGTTGACACTCCATCAGACGCTCCTCTGGCTGTGATTTATGAGGTGCCCCCAGGGACATAAATCAGAATTAACTTGCATATACACATATTAAATTACAGTCTTCCATATAATATACTGAAAACCTCACACAAACACTAGTAAAAGCTCTCACATAAACTAGTGAAAACATTTACCTCTTATATAATCTACTCAAAAGCTCTCATACAAAGTAGTGAGAACTGTTCATATAAACTGGTGAAAAGGTTTGCCTTTCATACACACTACTAGAAAGCTTTCATATACACTATTAAAAAGCTCTCATATACACTACTAGAACGCTCTCATATACACTACTAGAACACTCTCATATACACTATTAGAAAGCTCTCATATACACTATTAGAACGCTCTCATATACACTATTAGAACGCTCTCATATACACTATTAGAACGCTCTCATATACACTATTAAAAAGCTCTCATATACACTATTAGAACGCTCTCATATACACTACTAGAACACTCTCATATACACTATTAGAACGCTCTCATATACACTATTAGAACGCTCTCATATACACTATTAGAACGCTCTCATATACACTATTAGAACGCTCTCATATACACTATTAGAACGCTCTCATATACACTATTAGAACGCTCTCATATACACTATTAGAACGCTCTCATATACACTATTAGAACGCTCTCATATACACTATTAGAACGCTCTCATATACACTATTAGAAAGCTCTCATATACACTACTAGAATGCTCTCATACACGCTACTAGAAAGCTCTCAAACACACTACTGTAAAGCTTTCATACACACTATTAGAAAGCTAAAATATATGGTCCCCCTCCTTTAATTTAGGCAAACATTGCTCAAATATCACCGAATCCAGATGGTTTGTTGTTGATGAAGAGAGGAATAAACACAGTTTAAGATTTGCAGCTAAATTAATTTGTTTCCATATTATGGAACTGCTATCAGGCACTTCCCATCATCTTATATCAGTAATAAAAAATTATAAATACAAATTTGGTATTTGGTGACTTGACTTTTATTTCTGTCAGGCTGAAGTGAAAAAACTTGGAAAGAGACTGATCTTGGCGTTTAAAATAACAACACAAAACAGCATAAGAAAACCGCATTTATTTTTTTTGCTTTCATCAAAACAGTAGAAAACAGCCCATATTTAATTTTAAACATCTATGTTTTTGAAAGCTTAGAAACGGCCTCGCAGAGATCAGTCTCAGCTCTGAGGAGTCGTGATCTGCATTTGTTTCTTGTGTGTGTTAGTGCAGATTATGCATTGAAGCCTATTTTGGTCAAGCCTATTTACAACAGACAGTGGGACAGCAGACAGGTTTTAAGTAATAAAATGCCTCTTTGAGACCAACCGTTAACCGTCCTAATGTCCGGTCAAAAGTATCATTAATATTGCACATTTAAATTTTTCCCAAATGATTTGGTCATCATCTCGCGACCCCGATTGGGCTCTTGACTGCAAGGTTGACTGCTTAAATTGCTTTATAAGGAACAAGCGACGGAGGGCGGTACTCATCACCTCTTGTTTTTGAACATGAACATGTTCACTTTATTTCACCCTGATGATCTGACTGTTTATTCTGTCACAACTTGTGCTCTATTCTAATATTGTGGTTTGTTGGTAGAAAGATCATTTTGTAAAGTCATTGCTGGTTTCTGTTGGTCCTAAGACCGTTGGTCACGAGACTGAGTGACTCATGTAGAAAACACTACCACCAGTCTCTGAATCAGAAGTAACAGGATCCAAAAATCATTTATTTTCTTGGGCGGGTCTGTATATGTTGGCGTATTTGGTTTGGGTTAAATCCGCTCTGTTGGCCAGAAAGCTGAGACTCAGTTTTACATTTGTCAAATCTTTAAGTTACAAGAATCTGAGATGAAGTTTACAGTTTTTCTTTGGCTTAAATTGTTGGTTCGGTTTCCTTTTTTCTGCTGTATCCTCTGACAAACATCTCACCAATTATTCCTTATAAAACTGCATTCCTTACAGAAGCATTTTCCTTAAAGATATGGTTGTACACCCTGGCTGTCTTTATTTCTTTAGATTTGCATAACACAGCTCATTATTACTGTGCACCCAGGCTGCTCATTAAGGCTCTTTTTAAAATCATTTTTTTCAATGCAAACGCTTTTAAAAGCTGCCAATTTATAAGGATATATATATTTTCATTTTTTTTATACTATAAAGAACAGAGGAAGAAATACATTTGCAAGCTTTGTCTGAGTGACGTCCTTAATTACCTGAGACCCAGCTTCATGTTCTGTTCTCGCTTTATTGTTTTCAGGGCTCAATCTCCTTTCCAGACTGAAAGGACATAATCTGCACAGCATGATCTCAGCTTCAACTGGGAGTCTTTTTGATTCAAGCGAGCTGGAGCAGTGCCTCACCTTGCCCCTCTAGTCTCCCCCCGTAGTTAATTAATCCACAGCCACAGTTGTTTTTCTAAGGAGAGTTTGTACCACTATTGTACCACTTTTGGCTGAACCTTGTGTTGCGTTAGGGTTGCAACTAAAGACTAATTTGCTAATCAGTTTTTTCTTTTAATTGATTAATAATCAGCTCACAAAGAAGGCCTAATAATAGAATTTTTACAGTCTTTGAACCAGATAAAATTAAAATTACACCAGTTGAGTTCTGAGTAGAGCATATTTACTGATAAAGTTTTTCATTTTAAATTATCATTTTAAATGCTAACCATATGTGTATATTTGTGAGTTTTTGGCTTAATTTCTGCTATATGTTGGTTTGAGAAAATGGGAATTTATAGTCTCTACAGTCCATTTAAGGGTTATGCCATTTACTAAATCAGTTGTCAGTTTTTTCCCACATAGTGTCTTTAAATAACAATAAAAGAAAGTAAACAACTTCCTTTTAATTGGGGCATTAATGATGCAGTATTTATCTCTGCTCTTTTGAGTCTCCGAGAGTTCACACAAAAGGTCACAGTATTTTGGCCTTTTATGATTTGTAAAGCAGTGAATGTCAGCCCGGCTGCAGGGAGCCTTTAGGGACGGTTTGACTCAAAAACAGTAGCTAATCTCCTCTGAGAAGAAACTGTTAAAATTATTATGGCCTTCCATTTCACAGGCTCGGAGGGTGTGTGTCCTTTCGACTTCTCCTTTAGTCAGAGATCACCGCCACTCACACACAGACTTGTCAGTGTTTAAGCTATGTGCCCTTTCCCAACACAGCTGGTTTTA